TATGTGATGTGTCAATTATGTCATACTCCCCTAACTCCCTCTCCATCAAATTCTCGGCCTGCGACGTCACTATCAGCATCTTATAGCGATGACGTCGCCCGCAGACCTCGATGGAGTGCTTGCGATTTAGGCTGTTCTAGTGAGTTAAATTTTGTCGATTTTAAATGTAGAAAAAGTGATTTTTGGTCTGTTTTAACACAGAAGAAATTAAAAGCGTCTTTTCGCGGGGCGAATAGTTCAATTAGAATCAGAATCAGAATCAGAAAAAGCTTTATTATCAAAGATAGAAATCTTATTGACAAAGCAGTCTTATATCTACATAATCAAATAAAATAAAATTAAAATATTACTAATTTACACTAAATATGTGATTCATAAGGTATGTAAAATTAAAAATTAAATATAAATACACAAAAATACAACTATAAACAAAATAAGATAAAATAAAATAAAATAAAATAAAATAAAATAAAATAAAATAAAATAAAATAAAATAAAATAAAATAAAATAAAATAAAATAAAATAAAATAAAATAAAATAAAATAAAATAAAATAAAATAATATAAAATAATATAAAACATCAACATCATTACATATAAACTAACAATCGACATTCAACTAGCTGCGTAAAACTCTTCTAAAGTGTAAAAACAATTCTCCAAAAGATAGTCTTTCACGTTTTTTCGGAAGGCATTAAAATTATCAAGTTCTCTCAATTGTAAAGGTAGATTATTGAATATTTTACGGCTTTCATATATTAAGGATTTTTTTATCATTGTTGAAGAGGGTATCGGAAGATGGACAACCTGTGTCTGTCTAGTTCTGTAGTTATGCTGGAAATTGTAGCTATCCCTATACCTATTTTTGAATATCAAACAAACTGATTCCAATATATACAGAGATGTTAGGGTAAGCAATCTGTAGTCCCTGAAATAAGGCCTGCAGGAATCATTCCGTCTTAGCTGAAACATTGATCTGATAGCTCTTTTCTGGAAGCAGAAGACGGACTGAAACAGGCCATCACCGCACGCACCCCAGAATGCTATCCCATAGCGCAGATGAGACTCTACCAGGGCATAATAAACATCCCTCGCTACCCCCACGCCAAGCTCCCTCCGGACAACCCTAACGGCAAAGCATCCCGACGCAACCTTTTTTTTCAGTTGACTTGTATGTGCTTCAAAGTTCAGTTTTTCATCGATGAAAATTCCCAAAAATTTGGTGTGTTTTTCCTGCTGTAATGGATTATTGGCAAGCATTAACCCTTCCATCGTACATTTGAATCCTATGATTTTACTTTTATCTATGTTCAGAGCAAGCTTGTTTGCATCAAACCAGCGCTTTATAAGATCAAGTCCAGATAATACTATCCCCCTAAGATTCCCAACATTATGACAGTGCCACAGACAGGTGACATCGTCAGCAAAAACAGACATCTCTGCATTTATATTAATTTGACATAAATCATTCACATATATGAGGAACAGTAGAGGGCCAAGCACTGATCCCTGAGCAATGCCACAGGTAATATCTCCGGACCGGGAGTATTGACCGCCCAGAAAGACTCTCTGAGATCTGCCCTGAAGGAAGGACATTATCCACTCAAGAGCCTGTCCCCTGAAGCCATAGCATTGAAGCTTCAGCCGCAAGATTCTGTGACTAACGCAGTCAAACGCCTTGGATAAGTCACAGAAAACTGCGGCTGCCGCCTCTCCACTATTTAGGGACGCGTAAGCCTCGGTTTAAACTAATTTGTAGATGACGTCATTACTTATGAACGCGAGAAAATGGAAGGTTTGAACCACAGTCTTATGTTAACGGAGAAAAAGTTATGATTCCGGTTTGAATTTTTCTGAACCAGGTTCAATGTGACGTCACTGGTTCAACGCAAGAATGAACATATTTGTTCGAAACTAATTGAACCGGATTGAACAAGTTCCATCGCAAGAAAACAGCTCAAGTGTTCATGATCCTCGAGTATCCCAGAATTTGATGGTGGGGGAGTTAGGAGAGTATAACACAATTAACACATCACATAATCGAGCATCAACGTTACAAAAGAATTTGTTTCAATTTGACTAAGTACCTACAAAGTACCTCAATAAATTTAATAAATAGTTTCATTTGATTTCTCGTTACTCCTGTTGCTGTAATTTTTAATGTAAGGTCTATTTTCAAATTTCCAACATTTTGCGTTCTTAAAAAAAATCATAATTTTTCTAGTAAATAGGTATGTACCTACTGAAAATGTATTAAGTCAAAAGTCAAAGTCAAAAAATGCTTTATTGTCTAAGAACAAAACTCTCGTTGACAAAGCTGTAAAAGGGGGGAAAAAAAAAAACATTATACAATAATAATTCCAGGGCCATAGAGTACCAAGATTGAAATAATCAAAATAAAAATACAATACAAGGTCAGACTAAAACAATAAAATCATTTAAACAGTCATTAAAACAAAAGATGAAGTCACTTTAAAAATCAACATAAATATAAACATAAATCAACATAAATACAAAAACATGTTCATTCTAAAATATAAAATACAAAATATTAAAATTGCACAAACGTAAAGTCAACAGACATAGAAGTCATTAAATAAAACTACAAATTATATTCAGACAGTCACAAGAAAGCATCTTGGAAAAATTCTTCTGTGCTATAGTAGGCCTTTGATAATAGAAGCCTCTTAAGATGTACTCTAAATTTTTTACCAGATACTATCTGTCTCAGATGCAGTGGCAAATGGTTAAAGATCTTTTTACTTTGATAGATTATCGAGTTTTTTGTTTGTGTGGAGGAAGGGATAGGAAGGTTCACATTGTGTGTTTGTCGAGTGGTATGTACAGATGAAAATTCGTGTATGTTTTCCTTAAACTTTTTATGAACGAGACATGAAGTCTCTAGTAAAAAAATACTAGGAAATGTAAGCAATTTATGACGCAAAAACAATGGTCTACATGAGTCTCGTAATCCTATCTTAAACATATACCTTACCGCCCTCTTTTGCAACACAAACAACATATTAAAGAGAGACAATGAACAAAAACCCCAGAAACATATTCCATACCGCAAATGGGATTCAACGAGAGCAAAGTATGCACTTTTTGTTGTCCCAAGATCTAGCTTACTCGATATTACTCTGATTGCATAACATCCTGATGACACCTTTTTGCTCATGTATGTTAAGTGAGGCTCAAATTTTAGTCTATCGTCTATGTATACTCCTAAAAACTTACTCGATTTTTGACTGGCAACAGTATCTGCCCCTAAGGTAATTCCCTCAAAACCACATTTAAATGTTAACACATTTGTCTTCGACACATTAAAAGTTAAACAATTCGCATCAGTCCATTCTTTTACCTTAACTAAATCATTATTGATATCTGATTTAAGCTGTTCTACATCCTTATTTACCCAGAGAATCGTGGCATCATCGGCAAACAGTGTAAATACCCCAACTATATCAATGCTAGACAGATCGTTGATGTACAATAAAAATAATAGAGGTCCCAAAACAGATCCTTGTGGAACTCCTGCACTTATAGCCAGTTGTTCTGAATCAACACCATCAAAAGTAACTCTCTGTGCCCGTTCAGAAAAGTAGGACTCAAACCACTTTAGAGCTACCCCCCTCACCCCATAGGCTTCCAGCTTACATAACATTATTTTATGATTGACACAGTCAAAGGCCTTTGACAAATCACAAAAAACCGCTGCTGCGACATCACCGTTATTTAATCCCAAATATAGTTTCTCCAAAAATGCGAAAATTGCATCATTTGTGCCACATGACTCCTGAAATCCAAACTGTTCACAACAGAGAATACTATGTTTTTTAAGAAAACACATTAAACGCGCCTTGACTAGCTTTTCTATTACTTTAGACATTGTAGGCAACAATGAGATTGGCCTAAAATTTGAGGGTGTATCGCAGTCACCACCCTTGTGAAGAGGTAAGACCCTTGCAAGTTTCAGACAGGAAGGGAAAATCCCTGATTGAAAGGACTGATTCACAGAATCAGCAAACACCTCTAGAACCGATTCGGGCAAATGCGAAAAGACCTTCAGCGTAATCTCATCCCATCCCGCAGAATTTTTATTTTTAATATCTTTTAAGGTGTCTCTGATTTCTTGTGTTGTAGTAGGTTTAAAGAAAAAAGACTCGGATACGCTTATGTGACTTAGATATTCTCTAGGGTTAGTCCCAGAACTAATTTTGCTAGAAAGAGAAGCCGCAATCGAACAATAAAATTTATTAATTTCCGTGGCAGTCAAATTTGAGTCCATTGGTGAAGTATTCTTTTTTCCTCTTAAGTTATTAACAATTCTCCATGATTCCTTTTGTTTGTTGCTAGCCATCTCTATCCTATTTCTAAAATATAATTGCTTAGCGGTTTTAACTACTTGCCTATATATTTTACGATATTTGTTGAAAAAAAGCATAAAACCATCATTCCCCAAATAAAACTTCCTAATGTAATGCAAAGAACGCATATTTCTAGCCGATACTCTTATACCTTTTGTAATCCACAGTTTTTTACTCTTACACTTCCTGGTTCTAAGCGGAAAAGATCTATAAAAAACACTCAACAAAGCAGAATGCAACTCCGACAAAGAATTCTCACATCTACCAATCTCGGTCCAGTCTGTATGCTCGCAGAGTCTCAAAAATGTCTCAAAGTTACCTGTAGAGTAAAGTCGTTTGTACTCTTTTGGCAGTTTAACTGTGCCATAGTCACATTCCACCTCCAGTCCACACACATATTATGTGAGGTAATGTGTACCACAAGTATTCGTGGTGCGTATGTCCCTGTACGACAGTTTTTGAGCATTGTGTACCACACTTCCATATCTAGAGCCTGGCAACGCTGATTTCTATTCTCTTCTTTCAGGAAAATATTCTGATTGACTACTTTTGATAACCCTCATAAACAGGAATAGGCATTCTGATTCTGAGGCAGGATCTGGCTGCGTATAAGTAGTTATTGATAAAACTTACCAGTTACTGCTTCAGCTGCCACATCTTTTTTCCCTAACAATTGCGGTATTGTAGCGGCTTGTACAGGGGTCATGAAAGGAAAATCTAGGCTCTCGATGGCTTTTCTCACTTCCTGGTGCAGATTCACTCCCAGAGTTTCCCATTTTTTGGGCATTTTCTTCGGAAAACTTGATCAAAACAAAACACGCATAACCTAACACACAAGGCACATGAATTTTTGAGGTTACGGGAACGAGCACGAGCGTACGAGCGTAGCCGTTCCCTCTCCAGCTGGCGGGTATTTAAAATAGAAAATAGAATTCTATTTCTATATTTATTCAAGTATTGTAACTCACATGCATAGGCGCCGGAACCATGGGGGCAATGGGGGCTTGAGCCCCCATAGTGATTTTGGTTTCTATATAGTGAGTTTAGTGGGTAGGTATAAAAATATTAAATTCAGGGATGTTCCAAACTGCACAATTGTGCATATTGATGCACACTTTCTATTTATATGCACAGTATGCACCCCAATCTCTAGACATGCACATTTTGATTTCTAGAATAAATCTGCCACAATTTTTTAGTCAATAAATAGAACAAAAAATATTCTGAATTTGGGGTTACTTTTCAGTAAATTTGTACTGAGTGTTAAGTACATTGTACTCTATACATACTCCCATACTCTACACCGTTGATTGTCTACACTCTACTTAACTTGTACGTACTACAGGATGGCCTATCCTGGAACAAATCCCCCCTCTCTCCCCCTAGCCAAATCACCAGTTGTGACGTAGGCAGCATGTTATTTCTCGACTTGACGTAGGCTGTTTAAACAACTGACGACTTAGTTATGACGTCGGAAATGGCGACACACCAATATGGCTGCGATTACCAAAAACGAGGTCGATAAGCAATCCTGTAGGTGTGTATCATCTTTGGTATCATCCTTTGTACGCCACTGCTCAGCCGGCCCCAGGCCCATCCAGCCTGCTTGACAATCGACAATGAAAATACAAAATATTGGCAATCGGAACTGTTGTAAAAATAAACATACATATTGGCAACTGGCAACATTGAAAAGCAAAACAAGGGGGATGCACATTTTGTGTCAAATATGCCCACTTTTTATTCGCGAAAGGCCCCGAAGTAGGCGACATCTATGATCAACTTTGGTACTCAAAACTCAGTGAACAACAAAGCAAGTTCGCATTTGGCCCCCGGCATTGTTTCTGGAAGATTTCAATTTTCTACAGAATATTATTCTTTTTATGTATTGTTTTTGTTATATAAATCACAAAAATGCCATAGAACAGAATTTAACAAAAACTAACCTCAAAAAACTGGCTTTGTTGTTCACTGAGTTCGGCAGACATATTGCTATTTTTCGCGTAATTTAGCGCCATCTATTGGTACAGGAATTTCGCCAATACACTCAAGTGCACATTCACAAATTCTCCCGGAACATCCCTGATTAAATTCCCAATTACATACTTTAACGAAGAATTTGTTGTGTAGTATTTAAAGCTGTATTTTCAAAAAGTCGGATTGGAATTATTAAATTCTTTTTGTTTTTTTTTTGATAGGTTTACATCACATGAATATAAATAGTAGGGTGACCATACGTACAGCATTTCGCTGTATTGTACAGCATTTTGAAAGTCTGTCCAGCATTTGATTTTGTACAGCAAACGTACAGCGAAAGTCCAATGTCCTATTAACACTGTGTTAATAGGTCATTGCGAAAGTCTATGCTAACGCCGCATATATACATTTGCGATTTACGTCATTTACGCGATCATCCAGAGTATCAAGCCTAGTACTCATAACAGCAAAATTCGCTCTTTTTTGAAATTACTTCGACAATTTGACGTTTTATGCGTGAATCAATTAAACGTCAAATTGTCGAAGCAATGTCAAAAAAGAGCGAATTTCGCGGTGTTGAGTACAAGGCTTCACTCTTTTTAATGCTAACTACCTTTTTTATCCCTTTCTATTCTACACTTCTAAAAACTCTAGAAAAAAGACAAAACATTAGCGGTTCAGGATAAATTCACAAACATGTGGCTAAACGCCTTCCACCTTCTACTCTCGAAGTTCTACTCCGATTTTGTTTCGTCTGGCAGGTGCCACATTGCCTGTCATTGATCGGATAATCAGGATCCAGGGCTGGGATCACGACAAGTAGAATTCTACTAGAATTCTACTTTCGTGACGTCAAGTTGCCTAGCAACCGGCATCATCGCCTGTACTGTAGGCGATAAATAGATCGCGGATGACGTCATGAAAGTGGAATTCTACTTGTCGTGATCCCAGCCCTGGGGCCTTATTCTGTAAGGAACAACCGTTCGATTCGGTAGAATTTCTTCGATTGTGACGTCATTTTCGGTTTAGTTTTCGCTCGTTTTCGCGCTACCAAACCTAAAATGACGTCACAATCGAAAAAATTCTACCGAATCGAACGCTTCGTTCCTTACAGAATAAGGCCCCTGGGCTGGGACACGGACTTAGGGATCACGACAAGTAGAATTATACTAGAATTCTACTTTCATGACGTCAAATTGTCTAGTAGCCGTCATGATGGCCTGTACTGTACGCAATAAATGGGTCGCGGGTGACGTCATGAAAGTAGAATTCTACTTGTGATCCCAGCCAGGAACGATTTTGCAGGTTGCACTTTGTGACTTTGGTGTTAGTTTTGGTACTGTGTCTTTTTTTTCTTTCTCCTCTCACCTTTCCCAAAATTTTAAATGTGTACAGCATTCATACAAGAAAAATATGGTCACCCTAATAAATAGGGAGTTAACCCTACGTCTACCGGTAGGTCCTCTTTGTCATCCAACGATCGTACGCCTACCAGTAGCTCCTTTGTTCAGTCACCGATTGAGTTCCTAGTGGTACGTCCTTTTTCATCAATTGATCAAGTGGCTACTGGAAGGTGTTAAACCGTATATCCTACCAGTCATAGGGTTGCCAGATTTACGAGAGGGAAAAGCGTGGCAACGACGGGGGGGGATTTTTTTTCTTATATTAATTCTGTCCTTAGATTCTATCCTATCTCACGCACAAAGAGTGAGTCACCTTCAGTGGAAGTAAATCTTTTATTTCCCTAAGTGCGACGTAAAATAGTAACTAAATTTTGGACCTGGAGTTTTATCTTTGATCAAAAAACCATTAAAAAGACAGACTTTAATATATGGAAAGGAAAAATACAACTATCATTATTTTATGATAAAAAATGTATACCCAACCCCTGTGGCACAGCGTTGTCGGGTTTAACCATTATTAGGCGTTTTCTGAAAAGCTTTATTTTTATGTTTTCCGTTGAATTTAAAAAGCGGGGCATTGGGGTACTTTGGCGGTTTGGCGTGACGCGTGGCAGCAAGTAGAAAAGCGTGGTAATCACGCCTAAATCGGGGCGTCGGAAACCCTACCAATCAGCTCTCCCTAGCTACCTAAATGCGATAATAAAATTTTGTTTGTAGAATTGTCATTAGGAAATTCATCCACTGAGTAATAAGCGTTTATTAGTACAGGGTGTCAAGTTACAAAGTAACATCCCCTGTAACTTTTTTTATTTTCGATCGTACATAAAACAGTTACAAGGGGTGGTACTTTCTTACTTGACACCCGGTACCTAATATCTCTCTCATTTGAGCGTTAAACTTGTTGATGTTTGGAATCTGCTTTATTCTAGAAGGCAACCTATTGAAAATCCATCTGCACACACCTTTTTAGGTGTGAAATCATTTTTAAGTTCTCAATTGCTCGCTACGCTTACCAAACCTCGAAGAGGAGATTTTCGGAAGCGTAAATTGTCTACAAACGTGGAAAAGGTTTTTCGAATATATCTATCACCTGTCAAACGTAAATACACATATTATATGCACAATAGGTAGGCGACGGATTCTTAAATCAATATGAACCTAATACCGGTAGGCTCTGGATTCTTTTTACAAACAGTACCTACCGATAGGTGTTATATCATGTGGCAATTGGGGACCTACCATAATGTTTCAGCGTTATACATACGGCAGGCACACAATCAATGGAACAAACGGGGACTTTTCGGTAGGTGCAGAGTTCACTCCATTTTGATCATAAATGCCTATACTGGCTTATTTTACCTAGTATATCATATAAAATTTATATATAGACCGGATCATTCCACTAGACACATTTTTAAGTAATAAGACGAATAAGCTTCTACTCGGTCAAGGCGAATCGAAGCGGTGCTGCCAAAGCCGAGTACTGTCGAGCTTCCGGAGATTCACGAATTTCAATAATATGCAGGGAGGATCAATGATCCAGTGTGGCGATCCTGCAGTAAAATGTGTATCAGTCAACTGGTCCCATTTAAGCCTATATATATCTAGTAGCCTACTGGTCCTGTCTGGATAATAATTTTACTTGTGTTTTTTTTTGGAGCCCGAGCCCCCATAGTAATTTGGAAGTTCCGGCGCCTATGCTCACATGTCTATTTTCAATTTCAATTGGTATTTTTATTTTATACATTTGTTACAATATGGATTCAACAATAATAATTATAATTATATAATTATAAGATACAACGCTTTGAAATGTGTCACTTTTCCACCTAAATAGGGCAATCCAACGACCAGTGGCGGCCCGAGTCTACTTTTAGGATGGAGCGAGATCCGACTTTGGCGCCCCTAATTCAAATTTAAATCGTACTCGCATGAATTCTGCCCAAAACCTATATGTCCCTATCTATCTTATCAATTCCTGCTTCCTAGCAGCAAGCTCCCTAAAACAGGAATGGACGAATGGTTACAAAAAAAGGAGAGCAACGATTTAATGCTATGGTCTGAAGGACTGCTTTGGGTGACCTCTCTGTCTGGAGAACTTCTCTAAACACATTATTTCTATTTTGGGGCCGGTTTATTCACCTTCTGATAAACTGTCAAACAATGCAATCTGGCAGATAAAAAGGCAATCAGGGCTGGGACTTTATATCGAATAGAGATATTTTCTCTATCTTTATCGACGTCCCCTTTCTATTGATTTCGAGAAGAGAGAAGAAGACATCAAGTGCCGTAGCGATAGGGATAACGGTCTCTATCCCTTCCAGAGTTACAGCCCTGCAATCCCTTTGGTCGGCCAGTTATCCATCGAGAAAAAAGGGGCGTCGAGTCGGGGTGGGAGCGTAATGGGGGTAATCACCCCCCCCCCCCCCCAGGATCCAATAATCAAGAGAAAAATCACAATGCCCAAAAGAAAATACATAATAACATATTGAAGAAAATGTCATTTTTTTTGTTTTATTTTCCTCCCAGAGAAAATAAGTGTTAGCCAGAGGACGTTAGCGAGAGGGCGCCCCTCGAACGCGTCGCCACTGCCAAGAAATTTATCTGGAAATGAAGAAACTGGGCCTAAGCGTTCTTGGCATTCACATACTAACCACACGGTGGCTCGCAAGCAGAATAGCAGGATATCGAAAAGCAAAGACAAAAATATATTTTTTTCCTTTTTTTATCATCAACGACTCGGCTTCGGAGGCGCCCTCCGAGGTCTGGCGCCTGGAGCGCTCGCTCCGGTCGCCTTGGGCCGGCCCTGCCAACGACCTGTCAAAATGAAATTCAAAATGGAGGCCAATGCCTTTTTATTTGAAAAAAAATGCGGTTTTATTGTGATTTTTGATTTGTATAATCTGTAAAGTGTTAATTTTTTGGAAAATGCATACGTTATGTATTGAACTTAGTTGTGGGAACCGTTCTAATCACTTGAAAGTCTAGTTTCATGCCGTTTCTGCAGAGATAAAACACAGGTTTTTAACGGAGGAAAATGATTTGTCTGTAATTTGTGAGGGCTTCATGGATTGTAGCAAAAGAGAAAAAATCTTACGAAATCCATATTAAAAAACCAAAAAGTCTCTCTGCATAAATGATGTATGGATCCAAGGCATTTATTACTATCCTCCACATCAGCTTGTGTTGATAACTTGAATACCTACCTAGCAGACAAATAAAATAAACATCAGGATTCAGGATTTGGTTAAGAAAAAACTAAACAGGAAACAAATCCTGGATAGTACCTATACCTACCTAATTATTTAGTAGGTAAAGGTTTGTCACAAAGAAATCATAACTTTTGCAAACATCCGGGTTTTCCACTAATAGTTTCTTAAACTAATAACTTTCCATCTTAAAATACGAAAATTATCCTTCCAAACACTAGAAAATCATCTAAAAACACCACAAAATACACAAAAATAGTATATTGTTATATTAGGAGTAGAAGCTTTACTTTTTTGTGCTGAAGCAGTAGGTTTGCGAGCGGAACGTAGTGAGGTTTGCAATACTGCTTAAGCACAAAAAAGTGCTTCTACTCCGTATGCAACACGCTATTTTTTCTCCAAACGAATGGGGTAAGGTCGGGGACAAGTGGATGGTTAAGCGGCAGTAAAAGTACGAGCGGCACTAAAAGTACTTTTGCTGCCGCTCCAGCGGCACTAAAAGTACTTCTACTGCCGCTGCGGTTGCCTAGCAGCATAGAATAGTATATTGTTGTATTAGGAGTAGAAGTTTTACTTTTTTGTGCTGAAGCAGTAGGTTTGCGAGCCGAGCGTAGTGAGGCTTGCAATACTGCTGAAGCACAAAAAAGTGCTTCTACTCCGTATGCAACACGCTATTTTTTCTCCAAACAAATGGGGTAAGCTCGGGGGTAACTGAATGGTTAAGCGGCAGTAAAAGTACGAGCGGCACTAAAAGTATTTTTGCTGCCGCTGGGGTTGCCAAGCAGCATAGAAATTAAATTTCTACCACCTCGACAGGTGTTAACCTGCTGGATTTGCCTACCAGCATAGAAATTAAATTTCTGACATCTTGACAGAGGTTAACAAAGTGGCGTTTTTTTGACGTTTGGAGAAAAATTAAATTTCTACCACCTCGACAGGTGTTAACCCGCTGGATTTGCCTAGCAGCATAGAAATCAAATTTCTGACATCTTGGACAGGGGTTAACAATGTGACGTTTTTTTGACGTTTGGAGAAAAACAGTTTTTTGATGAAAAATGTCACGGTTGTTTGAATTAAATTTATGGCGCCAATTTTTTGGCATTGACCATGCATTGGCCGCCATTTTGTTTGGATTGCCCTATACACAATATACTATTTTGGTTTATCAAGCTCACATTGTGAGCATTAAGTTCTATAATACAACTAAGGGCGTGTTCTTTTTTCCACCAGAAGTTTATGTTGATTTCCACCAAAAATTTACTGTTGCATCAGCTATTTCTGTCACGTGACTCTTTGATGGCATTGGTGGAACTGGTGGAAGCAACACATAGATCCACTACAATTTACATAAAAGAACGCTTTAGTGGACCAAAATCGAAATATCTATATAAATGTTATATAATCTGTGCTTCAAATTCAGAAAAATTGGAATAGATAATGCGAGCAATGCTGCCATTGGGCCAAGAACATTAATTGCAACGCGAAATAGAAGACTCCTCAGAGGATCTCCAATTTCCTTTGCAGTCATTTTTTTTTACTGAATGTGACAATAAAATGATAAAATTTACGTCATCAGCTTACTGGTTCTCCATTCCATATCTTATAGCTTCGCTTCAAACAAATGAGCTAAAAAACAAATCCTGTGAAATAAGAACGCGGTATGATGGTAGACCATCATATTTCCACCATCAATAAAAAGACGCTTTGGTGGCATCATGTTTCCACCTGGTGAATGTCTGATGGAAAAAAGTACGCGCCCTAATAATGTTCAGAAAAATAGCATTTTTATAAGGGGCGGTTTATTCACCCTCTGATAAACCGTCAGGTAATCCAATCTGACGAATAAGACGAAATTTGTTATCCCATTGGTCGCCCAGTTATTCCTTGACCAATAGGATTATGGAATGGTAAATTTATCTTGCGTAGTTACCAGCAAGTTTATCTGAAGATGGATAAACCGGGCCTAGGCTCCGTGTCCACCCTATTCTTAAAATCTTTACAATGTACATCCCATAATTTAAGATACAGTTCAAAATTTTCTATCAACATGGTAGTTTCTTCTCTATTCCAAACACGTTTCTCCATTTTTGTAAATAGTTATATAAAAACCTCCACTTGAAAACACGTCCTTCCAAAACTTGCTGCAAATATTTCGGAACGGTCTCGAAATCAAACCGTGCAAACTAATTTGCTTAAGCAGGCTACACACGGTCCGGCAGGCCTGTCAGTTCGAACTGAACAGTTCGCCTGAAGGCCGGTCGCCGGATGGACTAATGACACTCCAAATGTTCAGTCGAATCTGAAATATTCTTCAGTCTCAGTCATCACTCATCACATCATGGCCTCTATTGACGGGTGACGACGACGCGTTATTAACACTTTTTGGTTCAGTAGTATTGATTTTTGTGAGAACAGTATCCTTCCTACAAGAAGAATCGATTTCCTTCCATTTTTCCACTTATTCCAAATACGCCGCTTCTTCCTTGCCACGGTCATGAAAGCTTCACGATTTGACTTGCCACAGACACGAGCCGCAACGATAAATTCCTCCAAACTCCTGTTTTCTATTTCGCACGACATGCTCTCTGAACTATCTGAACTGATAGCCCGACGGTCCGACAGTCAACCGTGCCATACACATGTTCAGACTTGCCTTGAGTACGTCAGGCCGGCCGGATGAACGAACATATTTTTGATTTTTCTCCGGCCGCCTGAACAGTCTTCACTAATAGACCGACCGGAATATATACACGTTCAGGCGACCAATCTTCGGTCGGACTTTTCAGTTCGAACTGACAGGCCTGCCGGACCGTGTGTAGCCGGCTTTAGATCGGCCGTGTACACTACAAGCTCAACAAGTCGGCAAGTATTTGGCGGACAAGTAAACTTGCAGCAAAAACGCTGCTGTTTACACGCAATGCAAGTGACTTGTGAGAGTGCTCTAAGCAAATTTACTTGCAAATGGACACGAGGTTTTAATTCATGTACCAAATGAATTGTTAGTCTCCTAGATAAATATCGGATCTTTACAGTTGTTTGTGAAATTTCAAACCTAAAGAATAATAAGTCAGTTGGTACTGACGGTATTTATTCCTGCTGAATTCTTTAAACAAGGAGGCCCTACAATAATTGCCGAAACCCACATCCTAATAGAAATTATGGATTACTGAGACCATAGACCATACCTGCCGAACTTGATGAGATGCCTCCATAGTTGCCATTTTTAAAAAGGTAGACAAGGCTCAATGTGGAAACTACAGAGGAATATCTTTCCTTTCTGTTGCGGGAGAGATACTCGCCAAAATATTGTCAAATCGTCTGATCCCAACTGCCAAAGAGAACCTTCCACTTGCATTCCCCCAGGCATGCAGAAGAATCGGCCTGAGACCAGACCTTCGCGTCTATAATGCAGAATGCCGTTGTGATACCAACACTTACATAAATTGCTGCGAAACATATGGAACACCTACAGAAGACACATAAAAAGCCTAGAAAAATACCACCAGTGATGCCTAAGAAGGATCCTAGATCCAACGGATTAAATGGCAAGACCGGTTTTAAAGTAGAGGAGGCCAAAACAACAAACAACTCAATCGTAAAAAATGTTGGAGGATTGAACGTCACGATACAGAATAATATGTATAGGTATGTAGATATAAGTTTATTTCTGACAGTAGATGCGAGATGGACCACCCATACCTCCGGAAAGAGATTGTGATTACTCCAAAGCTATTCTAAATGGTTTATCATTCGCTTGCAATCAAGAATCTCTTAAGTTCTCCAAGCTAAAAATATTTACTTTGAACCTAGGTACTTAACAAAAGTCAGGTAATGAAAATTAAATAAAACAAAACTCACAAGTTAATTTTTCAGACTTTATTAATAGAAACTACTTCTCCAACGCAATACAAAGCAGAACTTAAAAATATAAGTATGTATATATAAAGCAATAATCCCAAAAAAAGTCTAGTAATAAAATACTAAAATTGAGCAATACATACACATGTAAAAAGTGATAATAAACTATAGAACGGTGATTAAAAATAAAACACTAAACATAAATGTGCGAAAAACTATAAGGATAAACTTAAAAAGTAAGTAATTAAAAATTAAAAAGTAAACACTAAACTATAAATTTTGAACTTGATTAACAATTTAATAACAACTTTCAATAGGAAAATATCATTGTTTGAATATTATTAACCAGTGATTGATATATTTTTAAGGCACCTCAATTACTCTTAATATTATGTTTTTATTGTCAAATGAGAACCCAAACTCACTTAACAATAATTTAAAATTTTGGAAAAACTTAATTAAGATTTTTAACAGGTAGATAATGTAAAACTTTAGATCAATAATTATATTCAATTAATTGTAAAACTATGCTTGTAAACAAAACAATTATTGCCACTCTTTATAAAAAAAAATATATAAAAAGATCCCGAAAAATCTTCCCTAAATTAAAATATCATGCAAAAAACAGTAAAATAAAAAATAACTAAAACCTAATTAAAATAAACGTGAGTTTCCTAAGAACTAAAAAATGAATGAGTGAGTTATTCCATCCGCTAACACAAAGCAGATGAATTAACCCATTGGTTGCGTCACCATCTATGGTATCAACCCAATACTAGACAGCGATTTTCCCGTTCATAGTACAGGTTCCCATTAACTACTTTTGGTTGGCTAGTTTGGTGACCTGTACTTCTGAACAGTAAAATTGCTGTTTACTACTGGTTTGACATGCAACAAATAAAATTTCAAACTACTCACTTTCACTTACAAATTTCTCCTTAATTTTTTTGTCGTCATTTTCATAATACTTGTAAAGATCTTTGCTGTTTAAAGGAATTCCATGAATAATTTTCATGTGGTAAACAAATGAAGACGCTTGGATTATTCTGTATGGACATTTAGGACACTAAAAAATTAAACTTAGATATTCACATAGGAGAAAAATAAGTTAATTATTTAACCTTCAAAATATCTTCACAATCAGCTTTATGAGTTTTCTCGTGAGCCACCATCGATTTTAATCTGTTAGTAGCAAAGTTACATTGCTTACACAGCAACCTAGGCGCTCCATGGTTCCTTTTGATATGCCTTTTTAGGGTACCAACATCCTTGGTTTTGTATTTGCATTCACGACACCTATTAAGAATATCAATTTTGGTTATTTATTAAATCTACTAATCAAAGACTTACCTCTGCCAATCTTCTTCACTGAACTTCAAGTGAATGCGTATAATATGAGTTTTCAATCCGTTTTTGTAAGCAAATTGCTTGTTGCAGTGACCGCAAATGAATTTTTGGAAGCCCTCGGAGTTTTTGTGCATGTGGAGCACGTGGAATTCCATGTTTTTTTTGTAGATCGAATTGAAATCGCACAGTTCACATCTGGGAATAATAAATGTAATGTAAGGTTTACTATAAATTCTTTATTTAGGACCAAGGTAGATTTAAATTGTAGGTACATGCCATAATAAATATTTGGAATAATAAGTTGGTAACAGACAAAGAAGTATAGTTTTTTGAATTTACCAAGGTTTCTTTTTCCAAAAGATATCTAAAATTAGAGTGTATTTAGTTGAATTTTATTGATTGATAAAAAAAACCTAGACTTAAACCTTGTAATTTCAAGTTAGATAGGACCCGTAACACATAAAATCACTTCTTGAATAAAAATTGTTAGTGCTCAAAATGACTAAAGCACTACTAGAACCGTCTGTTTTTAAATGCGTTTTCTCGAAAACCACTGCATCAAATTCGAAAAAATAGGCACTGTTGAAGAGAATTCGATGACCTTTGAAATGAGGTATCACTTAACTACTAATGCCATTTGAGGTTTAAGGGTTGGAGCTTACCCCCGCGAGAGGGTTGAAGTGACAATATTGAAAATATGTGCAAAAAATTTTCCCCTCCGAAAAAAAATGGACGGGTCAGCGCGATTTTTTTCAATGAACGATGAATACGAGATATCGGCCTTGTTTCGTTTTCATTGGCTCACCCTGTACATATATATTTAACACATCACAGTCTGTTTTTAGAAAGTCATTGCTTATCAATTGAGTTGATTTTTCCTCCGTTTATTATGTCACATTTAGATTTAGACTTAATGTGCATTTTTAGATTATTAATTAATTTTTTTTTTGTACCTTACCAATATGTATTGTATGATTCAACAGTTAATGGGGTTATCCCGTATATGAATAAATAAATAAATAAATATTTCACATATCTGAGAAAGAACACAACTACAATTCTTAACACTGGGATTTCATCTAAACCACAACCTAATCCATTTGTCAATGAATGTATCTTGTTGAATATATCAAGAGGGGTAATTTGAACTGAACTGATATCACAATTAGACAAATTAGATAAATTAGAGACAGGAATGTTTTGATCACTCTCAACACTCATCTCAGTATAAATAGAGGAAAAACTATCCCTAAAGAAAATGACAATTTCATCAGGTGGGCGCTGCCTTGCTATTCATCAAAAAACATAGAACTGGGATAGCCACGATTTTCATTTTTTGATCTATCTCCAATATCACAGCCTCCTACACTTAACAAGCCATGAAGTTGGAAATGACGGCAACGTCGCGTATGGTGCTGTTTTGTTATTGGGGTTATGTGTTTCTGTGTATTGCGTTCATTGTGTATTGTTGCAGTTTAGTATTTTTGTGGGTATTATTGACGAAAAAGTGGATAGAAACACACCCATATATTGCCCATATTTAGTTGATACCTGTTCCTTTGTGCTTTGATTGCAAATTTTTAGCAAATGGGTACAGGAGCAAAAATGAAGGTAGGGTAATCCATCATTTATCTTGTGGATGATATGTTGTAGATATGAAAATTTGTAACATCACACTGTTAAAGTTTGGATAGGTTATCAGTTTATTGTATTTTTTTGGTTGTCTGTTAATTGTATCTCATTTCAATAGATATTCACTCCTGTAACATATTATTATTAGTATTATTATATAATATCGAGCCCATACAGGTGCCACAGCACCTAGGGGTTTTTTTTTTTTGCCTCATATAATTAAATAGTTTTAAGTACATTATTATGTTTATAATCATGAAACTGTTAACTATTATTGAATAAATTGAAATTGAAAATTGAAAAAATTGAAAAAGGTAAGGTAAAACAATAAAAAAAATATTAATATTTGTGTGCAAGAGCATAGGTCTCGATATATTACCTAAGATATTTAAATTTGTTCCAGATGCCATGAAACTACTGCGTTCCTGGGTACAAATCGAACTATAGGAGCAGGGCCGGCCTTACCATAAGGCGAACGGAGCGAGCGCTCCAGGCGCCAGACCTCAGGAGGCGCCTCCGAATCGTTGATGATAAAAAAAAGAGAGAAATATATTTCTGGTTTGAATCCTGTCTTCGCTTTTCGATATCCTGCTATTCTGCTGGCGAGCAAGCTTGTGGATATTATGTGAATCCCATAGAACATTTAGACCCGGTTTCTTCATTTGTAGATAAATTTTCTGGTGATTGTCTGCAAGACGAATTCACAAATCTATAATTCTATTGGTCGACGGATAACTGGCCGACCAAAGGGATTGCAGATTGTCTTTTCATCCGTTAGATTGCATTGTTTGACAGTTTATCAAAAAGTGAATAAACCGGCCCTAAAGGAGAAATAGTGTGTTTGGAGAAGTTCTTAGATAGTGATAGAGGTCACCCAAAGTAGTCCTACAGACCTTAGCTTAGCATTGAATAATTGGCAGGATAAGTTCTCTAGTATCTGAATAGCTCTCCTTTTTTTGGTAACCATTCCTGTTTTAGTGAGCATTCACACCAAAGTAGCATGCCACTCACACCACAGTAGCATGCAACGTGCGACTTGCTGCTAGGAAGCAAAAAGCATGCTAATACCTATTTTAGAACATCGAAGTAAAGTCACAAAAATGCGACGTGGCAACATGTGTCATATATTTTAATAGTTTTCGTCCTTTCTGCTTCCTAGCAGCAAGTCGCATGTCGCAAAATACTTAGGTATGAATGCTCACTTAGGGCGGCGAAAGGTAAACGGAGCTTTAGAAAGGTTAGGTTAATTCATTGGTTAATTAAAACCTATGTATAGGGGTCAACTCTAGCAGAAGGCAACCTTTCTGATCTGGGATCTGGCCCTGATGTCCATTGGCAACAGCTCAGACATTGTCATATGAGGAAATCATACAAATTTGCAAATACAAAAGTGCGCAAACAGCGATTTACCTGAAATTATGTATTTTTTTGTGTTTGTTCGATTTTTATGTTTATAAGTGTTGATAAATAGTTATTACCAAAGTTGATTATTGATTGATCTCATCAAAGAATATGAAACAAATGTTGGTAAAAAAGAGAGTTCCTACCATATTGTTAAAGCGGTATTATCCGTTCACAATCCGATGTCCAGAGGTAGGTACAGGTAAAATCACCTTTCAATGCTATTTGATAGGGAAAGGTGATAAATAGGATATAGATTACTGATCTCTTTAGAAAGTAAATATTATAATAATTTCTTACACAACTTTCATTACCTATTTGTTTGTCATTCTACTTTAAATCCACTCTCAAAAGGAAAAGAGTAGATACCAATGGTACCTACCAATAAACATAGATGTTTTCAAATTTCAATTGATAAGATAGATAGGGACATGGTTTTGGGCAAAATTCATGCGAATACGATTCACATTTGAATTAGGGGCGCTAAAGTCAGATCTCGCTCCATCCTAAAAGTAAGCTCGGGCCGGCACTGTATAGGAGTTCCTTAAAAACTGAAGAAATGCAAACATTTTCATTTCCAAAAAAAAAATCTGAATTGCAAAAGTTGTGGATGAAAGCAATACACCAAGATAATTATACCCGAGATTATACAATAACGAAAAATTCTGTCGTGTGTTGTAAACATTTTGAAGAAACCGAAATAATTGGATTTGACACAAACAAGGATAAAGGAGTAATTCGAGAGTTCAAACTAAAACGTCCAACTCTTAAAAGTACCTCTTATTTCCGAAAATCAGCTCAAGTATTTGAATAGACCTGCCTTCCGAAAAAATCCCGAAGAAAGAAAAAGTTAGATTTTCAAAAGACATACTGAACCTGTTGAAAATTATCTAACTATGGAAGTTATATTTCTCTTACATAGGCCTATAACACTTTAGAATCTAGAAATATATTCATTTAAATCAATTATTTACTGTTATTATTCACACAAATAGTTATATTATTCATTGGATTACTGTTTTTGACCCTTTAGGGCGGGTATTATAAAACTACTTTGAGAGTTAACTTAAAGTTAACTTCAAGTTAACTGTCAAGGCAGTTTTATAATACCCGCCCTTAGTACAATAAATGATGCATTTTTTGTCATTAATATTAACAAAATAAAAAATATAAACTTATAAAAACAAACAGCACCAGCACCACTTGGCGGTAAGTTTGCGGTGTTGCCTTTTTAACTTCATGGCTTGTTAAGTGTAGGAGGCTGTGCCAATATCCATCTCAGTCCTTTACTTGTTTGCCTCGAACTCGATTTTCTCAATGAAATTCTGATGACTTATATGAGAATAAGTTTTACACTCCTTTCTAATTTCTGAAAAAACTCTATAATCCTGAGAGGACATGGGTATTTTTATAGTTTTCATGTGCCTTTTTTTTTAGACAAAATTAAATATTTTAAATGATTATCCATCCATGGAAATTTTGCTATTTTTCTTTTATAAATGGGTGGAAAGATCTCAATAGCATGATAAATCTGATTATAAAAAGTTTCAACAGTAGAGTTGATATCATCCATATTAATGAAAGTTTCGCGGTCATGGTATACACAATATTTTTTGTGCAACTATAAAAGCTATGTAAAGTTATAGTAGAGTGCCGTGGGGCTCGTATCTTGTCACCCCGTAGGCACTTTTTGGCTAGCAGGATTTAACTTCGGAAATGAATTAGGACATTTTGTAGATTACTGATTTACTAGTCGTCCCAAATTCGTCCAAGCCTTAAGGTCACAAATCAATTTTTTTTCAACTAACAGCATCCCGCAATTCAGCCCGAAATTCCGTACATCATGGCAAAAAATTACTAAATTTCCTATACAAATTATATTTTTAATTAATTATTGAAAATTTAAATTAACATTGGCGCTAATGGGCCAACCAAAGACAAAAATCGAATTATCTCCGTTTCATAACGCTAAAAAAGTGACAAAGACCAATAGAAAACAATATACTATATATAAAATACCACAGTATATATTATTATCATGATACTAAAACACAGAAGATATGATCATTTGGTGGACAAAATTTGAACCAGTTCGCGCATGACGTCATCGCGTAACAAAAATGTATGGAGATAATAGAGAAATTAGCTTGTTCGTTATGATT